GGAGCTGCAGGGTGGGGAGGCTGCTGTGTATGAGGACATAGGGAGGGGTTGGAGGGTTGAGAGGAAGTGGTTCTGTGTGTTACCCCCACATTGCTATGGGGGAAATAAAACCCTGTGAGGAGAGGAATATGAGAAGGGATGGAGCTGAGGGTGCTGCCTTTCCCCCCTCCCAGACAAAACCATCATCATGTGGAAGCTGACCCGTGATGAGACCAACTATGGGATCCCGCAGCGCGCCCTGCGCGGCCACTCGCACTTCGTCAGCGATGTGGTCATCTCCTCTGATGGGCAGTTTGCACTGTCGGGTTCATGGGATGGCACCTTGAGGCTGTGGGACCTCACCACGTGAGTCCTGGGGACAAAAAGGGCTTTGGGGTGGGGGGTTTGGGGCAGAGCTGGACTCTGTGCTTTGTTTGGGGGTTGGGGTGGGTGAGAGGTGTGTGATTTAGCGTGAAAATGAGGTGAGATCCTCTAAGGTTGGGTGATAAATCCTGCTGGGAGGGAGGACCAAAGCGATTCCTCCCTCAGCTCCCTCTCCCAGTGATTACACCTGACACAGCCTGCTGATCCTCCGGGATCTGAGGACACGTCCTGCAATTATGATGGGAGAGAAGCAGGTGGAGCAGCAGAGGGGGTTTGGTTCTTCCTTCACCATCACTGTGGGGTACAGACAGGAGCAAGCAAGCTTTTCTTTCAGTGTGATTTTGGGATACTGAGTTTGGGGTGAGGTTGGAGCAGCTCCAGCTCTTCTTTCACTATGATTTTTAGTGTTCTGGAGGAGAAGAAACTCCTCAGGAAGTAGAACTACCTCAGCCCTCCAAAAGTGTTCAGCATTTACGCTGCTGTGTCCATAGAAGCTGAGTTTTATTTCCTAAACTCCTCGTGATTATTCCAATCCTATATCAAAAGCTTTGGTACCCTCTGAAATCCTGTTTGGAAGGAGAAAATGAACCACCACTCTTCAACCCACATGGAAAGCGCAGATTGCTCCATTTTTATCTTGCTTTTCATTAGGAATTTAGGCAGTGCAGCAGGATTTCCTCAGTTTAGGGGAGGGTTGATTAATTAAATTGTGCTTTGCTGAGCTTTGTCCCTCCCGGTGTCCCTGCAGAGGAACCACCACCCGCCGCTTTGTTGGCCACACCAAGGATGTGCTGAGCGTCGCCTTCTCCTCCGACAACCGCCAGATCGTTTCGGGCTCCAGGGACAAAACCATCAAACTCTGGAACACTTTGGGTGTCTGCAAATACACGGTGCAGGTGAGGCAACGGATCTGAGCTTTCATGCTGTGAAAATAAATTTCTTTCTGCTCGTTTCTGAGGCCGTATCCCCACGTTTCTCCTTGCTGTGTTGGTTTTGATCCATAATCCACAGCTACCAGCTCCGGCCTAATGATTAGAAGTGACACAGTGCCTGCTGACCTTTCTTTTTGGGGGGTTTGAGGACACGTCCTGCAATTATGAGGGGCTCATGGAGCAGTGGGATGCAGCAGCTCGGACTGGGGATGCTTTTCATTGCTCTCAACCCAACGCTGTTCCTCTCCTCAGGATGAGAGCCACTCCGAGTGGGTTTCCTGCGTACGCTTCTCTCCCAACAGCAGCAACCCCATCATTGTCTCCTGTGGCTGGGACAAGTTGGTGAAGGTGAGAGGAGCAGCTCCTTTGGGGTCTGTGCAATGTTCTGGGGAGGATTTGAGCAGTGATCATGAGAGGGTTGTTTTTTTTCTCCCCTGTATTTCTGACCTTGTCACGTTTACCCTCATCAAGGTTTGGAACTTGGCTAACTGCAAACTGAAGACAAACCACATTGGCCACACAGGATATCTGAACACAGTGACCGTCTCTCCTGATGGTTCCCTGTGTGCTTCTGGAGGCAAGGTACACCCTGGGGGGAAACTGAGGCTGAATTGCAGCCTATTCTGGTGCCCTCACAGCTCAGTTCTGTGCCTCTTATTATCCTGTGACAACTCACCCACATCTCAGGCACAAATCGAGTGCTGTTTCCAAGCTGGAAGGATTTAGATGGACAACTGGAACAAAGCCACAGTTTTGATGGTTTGCTGTGATTCTTTTTTGCTGCTCCTCAGGACGGCCAGGCCATGCTGTGGGACCTGAACGAAGGCAAGCACCTGTACACTCTGGATGGAGGGGACATCATCAATGCTCTGTGCTTCAGCCCCAACCGCTACTGGCTCTGTGCTGCCACTGGCCCCAGCATCAAGATCTGGGTATGGGACATCCCCATTTCCCCCCAAAGAATCACTTTTCTTATCCTGGGGCTTTGGAAGCAGCTTTTAATCGAAATCCTCGTCCTGCCCCGCAGCTCTCTTGGTGCAGAGCCCTTTTGGTTCTGGTGGCACTGTCTTCATCCCCTGCACTGGGAGGGTGGTGTGGGGCACAGCCACTGTTCTGCTGTGATGAAACTTCAATGCCATCTGACTGCATCCCTGTGCGGAAACCCAGAGGCTGTTTCTGAGCAACCCACTGCCTGTTCTGAGTTGGAAGGGTTGGGTTTGGCTAGAACAATCTCCCTGCAGGACTTCAGTCCCTCACGCTCTCTTCTGTCCTGCACAGGACCTGGAAGGCAAAATCATCGTGGATGAGCTGAAGCAGGAGGTGATCAGCACCAGCAGCAAAGCTGAGCCACCCCAGTGCACCTCTCTGGCGTGGTCTGCAGATGGGCAGGTAGAAATATCCCCTTCTCCTCGCAGCCTTAAAACTCCCACCTTCCTCCAGCACCTCTGCTTTGGGGAGCTGCTTTCTGAGATCTTTACATTCATACCCTGAAGGCTGATTTCTATCTTTCCATGATCCAATTCCTCCATTTCTCTCCTCAGACACTGTTTGCTGGCTACACAGATAACCTCGTCCGGGTGTGGCAAGTCACCATTGGAACCAGATGAGGATGTGGTAACAACACACAGATTTTATGCACAAAACTCAATAAAAGAGCACTCTGTTGAGCTCATGGCTGCCTCATGTCCCATTCTGGACTTGCCACCAAGGCTTCGCCCACAACTTTAAGGATGGGGACATCACTGCTCTCCTCCCATGTGTGGAAGAAAGGACTCAGACGTCTCCCTGAGCCCTTTGTGGAGCAGTAGCAGCCCACAGTGAGCGCACACCTGGGGAAATAGAGCCATGGACAAAAAGAAACCACTGCCACCACCAAAAATAGAGGCACTAAAGATGCTGTGAGAGCAGAAGAGGTGGTAACACAGAGCTGAAGGGAAACAGCCCAATTCAAATTACTACTCATTAAGTTAAGATAGATGATGCAAGGCTTAAGTTGCATCTTACCAGCAGGAGTTAACAGTAGACTGGGGGGGCTGCATCCCAGCTCCCATTCCCTGCGGGCTCTCAATAAGCAAGAGGCTCAGCTTTAAAACTTTATTCTTTATTATTATTATTATTTCTTGACATTTCAAAAAACTAGATCTCCATTTAATTCTTATTTTAGCCAAAAATATTTTGAACTAGCTCTGTAACGCCAACAGAAAAAAAAATACCAATCCACCAACAAAAAGAAGTAAAACACAACAGGGTGCGATCAGAGTTTCTCTGGTGGGACAGGATTCAGCTGAAAATTCAACGGCAGCTGAGAAAAGGGAAGAGAAAATAAATATCCCCACCTCAGAGAACTCTTAAGCTGTGAGGGGAAACAAGGCTGCTTCCCACCGCTGCGGCCTGGTGCGACGCTGCGCTCTGAGTGGCCTCAGAGGTGGAAGCTGCCTGATTTTTTTGCACCCTCCCCGGCCTACGTGGCCCTAAATAAAGTGCCAGGCCCACAAGAAATGGTTGGCAAGGGAATGATGGGGCAGAGGGAGAGCTGGAGACCCCCAGAGGGGCAGAAGAGCAAAAGGGGAAGGTGGGCAAGCGGCAGAACAAGGAGAACATGGAAGGTTTGAGGTCCAGATGGCGGCTGGGTGGGAGGTGGGCAGAAGGTGGTGCCCCAAAACTGAAAAATAAAAAGAAATGAGGCTCCTTGGTGCATCTGAGTGAAAAGCTGATGACTCGTGTCAGAACGTACAGACCCCAGCATCCTCAGCTCGAGCTCTGCATCCAAAGAGAGCAAACAACGCAAAGCTCGACCACAGGCTTTAAACAAAACAGGGAACAGCACACTGGAAAGCTGCTGCGAGGACTGGGAAAGGCAGAGGGGAGCCCATAGCACCAAGAGCTGAAGGGAAAACCTCCAGCAAGGAGATTGGATCCCTTTTCCAAACCAAACCAGCCTGGGATCGCGACCCCGGAGAAGAGTTGGGACGAGGACAGAGGCTGGGACAGGAGAGAGGAGGGAAGAGGCCTTGTGAGCAAGCAGGTGCGAGACAACAAGTGCAGCGTCAGGTCCCAAAGTGGGACCCAAAGGAT